TCACCTTCCACTAACTATATTTCATAATACTCCACCTTGTGTGTCTCTTTGGCCTTGTGTTGAGTGAATAATAGTATAAAAAAGTGAACATTAAATGCATAGAATATTATATTTGTAAATTATATATGAGACTAGCTCCCTTGACACAGCTGAACGATAGGTTTGCAGATAATTCCTAAGGATATTTTTGCCATTCCTAACTGCAAATATTGGTAGTTTTAATTTATTCATTTCGCCCCAAGCAAGGAGAGAAAGCATCGAATAGCAAAGTGGGTGTTGAAGATTAAAAACACATGGGAACTTAACAAAAGTTTAGTAAAAACTAATAACATTATTCAATGAGACAGATAAAGTTTACGTTGCGGTTATATTTTTGTAAATTGGCAGGAAAGCCAAAATCTACAATAGAGTTGCATTGACAAGAAGTACTGTTATATAGAAATAAATTGTCGCTGCCGACACTTGAGTTTGAACATAGATCGCCAGTAAGCAAACACAGGCGATCCCATTATTGAATTAAGTAGACCATGTGATCATAGAGGAAACATATATACGGAAGGTAGGGTGTGTCTAATTGATCTGCTTTTCTAGTCAATCCGTTATTACTATTCGCTCCACTCTTCTCTATTCACTATACTATTTCTCTAATCAAACGGGTTAATATCCGAGCGAGTATTATCGAGTTGTCTATTTGTGCGAGTGCTATTTCGAAGGCGTCTGACACTTGTATTGTTCAACGGTGTTATGATAGTTGTAGCTGCGATTATAAAATCTCTACTACAACGAGCGTTACGAAAGTGACAACGAGTATTCGTTGGCGTAACAAAAGTGGCAAGGAGTGTTCTTTGACATCAAAAAAGTACTAAAGAAGAAAATGTTAGCAAAGAACTTCGAAATTTCCACAATAAAATAATGAGACCGAGCAGTCGATCTGGTGTTACACATACATTTATGAAGTCGGGGTAACAAAGATGGAAAAAAAAACGTTGCAATTTGGCATGGAAATGTTTTCAGAAAAGATCGAGTGAAATTCCGTTAAGTTGCTGGGAAATTGATTGAAGCCGAGATGCCAGAAACACTCAGTAAACTTATTGGACGAGAGCCTATAGTTTTTGCTTGCAAATCCTCATGCTATTTTTGATGCAGAGTCAATTGTAACCTTAGCCACAACGCTAGTGCAAATTGTGACTTACACAAGAAAATAAACACGAGATATTTCGCTAATCTTTGTTCTTTGGCAAACAAATTATCGGTTTAACTTATGACTTCACTAGCGGAAATATCTTGTGAGTAATGACTCCAAGACATTAGTAAAGAAAAAACCTGCTAAACTCCTCGTTTTGAGATCTCTCTAGAATAAGCGCTGGATGTTTTGAACTCTTAAAAACAACTACAGAAAATCAATGTATCCGAATGAATTATAGCCACATAAGAAATGAAAATAAAAATTTAATTCTTTCTTTCCATCGTTCGTTCTTGCTTTCTTGCATTCGTTTTTTTTCCCTTTATTGCTTCATCATTTCCTTCTTTGTTTCGTTCGTCATTCGTTCTTTCTATCTTTATTTCGTTGGGTCTTCATTTATTTATTGCTTTCATTCGTTTTGTCCTTCTTTCGTTCGTTTTGGATTTCTTCTTTCCTTTTTCTTTCTTTCTTTTGATTGTTCGTTTGTTCCTTCATTATTTCTTCCTTTTCCTTTATATCTTTCGTTCATTCGTTCGTTCATTCTTTATAATTATTATTTACCATTTCTTTTTCTAATTAAAACCATCCAGCTTTTCTTTTTCTTCCGGTTTTCCGGGAAATGAAAAAAGGAATTATCCATTATTTATCTGAGATAATGACAGGGCGTAACGCATGTGATAACGCACGTTCTTTCATACTATCGAAGGAAAAAGGAAAATTATACTATAATATTGCATTTTGACAATGTCTGCATTTTCCAATTAAAGGACGATCAACTGGATATGATTGGAGTTAAATTAAATAGATTTTTATTTAAGGAAAAAAGATCACAGATTTTAGTAAATATTACGAGCCAATTATAGTTCGTAGTAGTCATCGCTAATTCGGTTAGCAAAGCCTGAAGCCATATTTCATTTTGAAATTTATTGCAACTACTGAACTGGGCACTTATTGCTGTAATGTCTTCCTCCTTTTTTAATTCAGTACATTTTTTATTTAACACATAGATATTTACTTACGACGGCATAGATTCGTCTCCTGGAAAGAGTATTTGGAAATCAGTGACTTTTATTACGAAATACACTGTTTAAATCGTGAACTAATCATAAACCTTCGAAAATCTTTGCTATTTTTAATGCTTCACTTCCGAATTATTTCTCCCTTCCTTAAAATACTCATACTCAGTTGAGTATGTATGTATATATATATATATATATATATATATATATATATATATATATATATATGCATGCACACACAAACACACACATCTTTCGGGTAAAAATATGATTTCCAGACCTAACGGCGATGAATTAACTGAATTAACCGAATTCGTCTATCAAGTTTTACATAAAGACGTAGAGGCTTACGTTGTACCCCTAGATATCAAAAAAGCGTTCAACAGGTTCTAATATAATGATCATCTCCAAAATCCAAAGTTCTACGGTGTCTCTGGATGAATATTTGGCCTAATACAATCATTCATAAAAAGTCATGTAATAAAGTTCGTTTTGAATCGACATGTTCCTCGTTCATATCATTAATTGCAGTGGTGTTCGAGAGCACTATGATTCGATCTACGCTGTTTCTTACATTCACCAACAACCTTCCCTATGTCATCAGTTCCCAACAATATTTCTATGCAGATGATACAACTACTTACTCCTGTGTTAGCAGCAAATCCGACAGATTCGACAAAGTAAAAAAAAAAACATTTAAGCAGTTGTCAACTGAAGCAAGAAATGCCTTGTAAATTTTAACGCCTCCAAAACAAAACTGCTTTTATTCCATCACATAACATTTTCTACCATTCACAAACATGGCTGATGATGAACTCTAGGAGAGCAATATTTGGAACCTTTTTCACACAGGTTTTACATTGGCATGAAGTGAGGTGATTTTATTGAAAAAACTCCTAGGTCTGCTGTTAGCCATATTGGTTCACTGTGTCATGCCAGGATATTTTTAACGTCAGTCACCCTCTGGTACATTTATAAATCTACCATTAGTCCCTACATTGAACACAGCTGCAATATTTAACTTGGTGATTCCACTATATATTTCGAGATTTTTGACAAATTTCTAAGGGTTTGTATGTTAATTCTTTTAGACAGAGTATTTTCAATATCAATCAATTTCCTACCGAAGTGAAGTAGTTTCCTCTTTCTTTTCTACAAATATTTTTATGAAAAGTGATCTGATGAGATGTTCTCCTTAGTGACTCGACTGCATAAATTTAGTCGTAATATTAGGTTGGCAACTAGGTCCAACCGTTATCCAGTTGAACTTGCTAGACTCAGCAGTTTGATCTATCCTGATAGATTTTCTTTTTCACATATCTCTTCTTAGACAGAAACCGCTGGATTAAATATATTTTTGTTAAATAAAAGGGTTAGGAAATATCTGTTAATTATTTGGGCATTTTGAAAATATACATTTAATTCTCTCTCTCTCTATATATATATATATATATATACCCATCCATATATGTACATTTATATTTACGCATACAAACACACACACACATATATATATATATATATATATATATATATACACACTCATGTATACATATATGCATACATAAATATATGCACACACACATATATACACATGCATACACATATATATATATATATACATATATATAGAGATACATACACACACACATATATATATATATATATATATATATATATGTGTGTGTGTGAGAGAGAAGACAAAATATAACTTCAATAACTTCAGTAAAACTTATTGATAATACCTAAAATTTTACTCACACTTTGTTTGGTCATCAACATGGATTATTTTTGATTTGATAATTTTTTCAGACTACTTTTGAAATATTGAAGTTCACATGACTTTCTTAATAATTAGATATTGTGTATATTCTATCATTCATACATATATATATATATATATATATATATATATATATATATATATATATATATATATATATATATATATGTGTGTGTGTTGATTTTCACTTTATTAGTTGAATCATCAATCACGGAGAAGTTGATCACTTAAACGACACCAGCAGGAAAACTATGGTCGGTCTACCTCCCAGTGGTTTTATAGGTAGTTAATTAAATTGCCTTAATTGTGGACGCAATATATATATATATATATATATATATATATATATATATATATATATGGTGTCCCTTATTCTTCAAACATTCAGACTGTTCTCTCCTTCAATGAGCTATTTGTTCTGGGGACATTCTCAGTCACCCTGTAAACTTTAAATGTTAAAATATATCGCCAACAGTGTTACGTATGCGTTAAATATTTTATATTTGAAAACCTGATCCATCCAATATGGTTACGCTCTCTGTATCTGTTTTCGTTTCCTTACACAAATTGGTAAGGTATGTTCTTGGACCATCATTTTATCATATACAGACATCCATACTACAACTCAACACATGTAACATTTGTATATAAAACGATGCTGAAAATACGAGTACTGAACTTAGTGCAATTCAGCAAATAACAAAATACATATATAACTGATCATCTGATACAAGGATAAAAATGTATAATTATTTTCTAATTAATATATTAGTTGATTCGTTTGCTAAGGCTTATCAATAATTTTCTGGTTATTTAAATAATTTTTTTTTATTTAGATTGCAAGATTTTTTAAAGGTAATAATGGTTTGATTATATAGGATTTACTAATTAAGCTATAGCTGGAGGAAAAGAGGTGGATTCACACTTTTTTAAGTAAGTGAATATATTGAACCTAACGGGGATTTGAACTCAGTTCTGCGATTAACAATGCTTTTGCACCGCCCGCACGCCGAAGCTTACAGCGCCTATTATTTCCTTGCGGTCACCCACCTAGGTACTGACCAGGCCCAACGTTGCTTAACTTCGGTGATTGTAGGGGAAGTGGTGTTTCAACGTGAAACATAATTATTATAGTTAAATTTGAAAGAATCGATACTTTGGAACTTTATTATGTATGCGAGTAGCGTTGGAATTACAATATATCGGAAACACTGTCTTCAATAAGAAGTGAGAGCAGGTGTGGAGGAAATTACAGCCAGCAAAATGATGGACTTAGGTCAGCAGGGATCCTGAACAAAATAGACACACCAAAAAAAGAGATTACCTTTTGTGCAGGTGATTTAATGACCCTGCCCAACAAACATCCATACATGGGGAAAGACTGTGTCTTCACTTTGTTCGTTGTGTCAGAAGAGAGGATCAAGCCAACGCGTATTGAGCATTTGTCTTAAGGCATTGAGTGAGGGGCGTTACCGGTGGCGCCATGACAATGTGTTAAGCGCCATGGAACAATAGTTTCGAGTCGTCTCAACAAAAAACAAGATGCTGATGGGTTTCGTCAAAGCAGAGAAAAAGTTATAGACATTACAGAAGTTGAAAACGTCCGTCCTTATTTCTCCCTCGGATTGTCAATTGATAGTTGATATAGACTAAAATTCCCAATAAAAAACAATACAATGCTTAGCTATTTTCGGACATGATTATTTATTGTGAACAGACCATGTAAGTCATAATGCTAGAATCAACAGTCCCTTGGGAAGAAAAGATGAACGAATCAGACAAACGGAAACTTGGGAAATATTTACATATTGTAGAGTAAAGCAAAAACGGTTTTATCGAGCTCGGTGCAAACCGATTTTAATCAAATATAGAGGCTTCGCTTCGGGGTGACAATCTAAGATGCTGTCAAAATTAGGAGTAACAGACTTGTAAAAGTACAAGGCCATTTGCACAATAAAAATAGCAGCAGAATAAGGCTCTTGATGGTTATGCCTTAAAAGATCAACTGATTTACAGTCAGTAAGGAAGTGAGGTGAGGTTGATATTTGTTTTTCAAGGGAACTGAGGTCTTGAGTATGACCTACACCTACACCTGACAATAGAATCTCGACTAGATGACAGAATTAGGTTACTTATCAAAGGTACTTTTTTTTAATATACACAATTGACACGTGGGGAGGGCGTTACGTTTTTGTTTAGATGATTAACATGAATAAACATAAAAGTGAGTAAAATCGATTTCATGTGTGTGCTTGTGTATATGTGCATGTATATATCTCAGTGGGTGAAACAATGATCGTTACTTACGACTTCAAGCCGAGCGCGGAGCCATATTCTTTTCCAGACCGAAACCGTTACCACGTTTGCTTCCTTTTTTATGTAAGAGTGTACATCACTGTTAATATTTAACAGCCCCCACCCCCACGAGGGATGTATGTGACACAAGGAAGAGTTTACTGTGGGTTTTCCGCGCCCGTAGGCTCGGCCAAAAATATTCCCTTAGAACCCGCATAAACGGGTTCAGATCCTGTCTACCTTCCCAAATTTTAGAACAAAATCTGTCGATTCAAGTCAAATCTGTATCAGTGTAATTATCAGACATCCACTACCCTTATAAGATGATTGATATTACATAGCAATTTAACACAGTATTTTTTTCTCAACTCATATTGAAATCAAAAAATTGAAGAAAGCAAAATTGAAATGAGAAGGTATAATTTTCATTAACAAATAAAAAATATGCATTTAAAAGTTTAGAACAAAATCTGTTGATTCAAGTCAAATCTCCATTTATCAGACATTCACTACCAATATAAGATGATTGATATTGCATAGCAATTTAGTACAGTTCGCAAAACCTCGTTCGGGTTCCTCTCTGTCAAGGGAGAGAGTTCGACTGTTGTACACGCTGGAGCACTGTTCCTGAGTGTACATTGCTTTTGAACCGGAAACTATCCGTGATTGGATTATATATTACGAAGAGGTGTCGTCGTGTATGATTAAAAATGAGGAAAAATGAAGCTGACGGGTAGCACACAAGTCGATACCCGATCAGTATCTGCTGGGTCACCGTGTAGAGGTGGTATGATGTTGAAAGACATGACACCCCTATTGGACCTCGGCTAAAGATATCAATGATGAGTGCCAAAACATCAAACATGTATTTTACGAAATATAAGCAAATTTGCTTTTAATATTTGTATTTAATTTACAGTTTTAATGAGATTTAATAGTTTTAAGCTCTCAAAATCTAACTCTCCAAATTATTAGATTATAGTAAATAAAACTAATTTTATGTAGATATACTCGACTAATTCCAAATTTAAATCAAGTGTGTTGTAAATAATGTAACCAAAAATATACTTTAACATTTTAGTTAAAGGCTTTCCTCAGATTTCCTGTTCATCGTTACATTTAATATAAGCTTTTCATTTTTCTTCATGGGTATTTGAGTTTTCTTTTTAACTTAATACGGGTCTGAAATTTTCTGCTGCTAATTTTCCAAGGTTTTTCGATTCTCTCGTTTGAATTTCGAAACGCATTTCCTTCTGGTGTAAGGAAACGATTCAGTAGATGAATGATTATAAACCCTATCGATTCTACTGTTGAAAGAAAGCTCGATTTCCGGATTCAGATTGATCCTAAATGTGCCGGCATGTTGACACTGACGCTGGCAACATCCGTGCTTGTTCACACATGTTTGCTATTGAGATTCCCCTTCGCCATTGATCAATTATATCCTTTCTCTGTTTAGATATATCATCGGCAGATCACGTTTTCGCGCGTTGTTTGAATTCTGTACGCCCATCGCCTATGCTCAGGTTGCCCATGACTGGGTGTGACTTGGGTGTTATTTGAGAGTATAGAAAGTTGAAAGGCGGGAAACCTAATATCCAACGTGTAAATATAATAACTAGAAAATGTGATATAAAGGAACAATTGTTATTAATAAATCAAACATAGTTAAGATTATAACAACAGATGCGACAACATTATCAAAAGAAAATCAAGAAAATTTCGAATATATTTTTTACATATTTCAGGTGTCACTTAAACGATATTTTCACTTGAAATATCTAACAAACCAATCAGTCAGTTATGTGCCACACGCTTAGACGATCATGTATCTTTCGATACATGACAGACGAGGCAGACTTTTTTCCGCAGTAGGTTACCATTTCTTTCTGTGGTAAACCAGTTGTCATCCAAGGCTATAAAACCCGATCTGTCCTGCTATTTACCCATAGCTGGTGGGAGAAGAAAAGGATTCATACCTTTCCCAAGGTTAATAACATGTAAGTTAATGTAATGGATTAGACTGGAATTCTAACTCCGATTTCTAAATCCGAAACGCTGTCCATTAAAATTCATTCCATCAATACTGTGTGACATATTACTAGGCTGACAAAGGCAGTATCCTCTCTTGTCCACGTTACCGAAAAAAATTCTCTAACGACATTAGAGTAGCGATTTTGCAAGCGTAGCTTAGATGTAGCAGAAGGCTGAAATTCTGGGGCACCCAGTGAGGATCTAACTCACTATTCATTCATAATTGTTCTAGCGAGACAAACTTGCTAACCATTACATCACCTCGAGGTGCCCAACGACATATGAGTAGTATGTAGCTTGCTGAATGTTCGATATATGCAACGACTTCCTAGAGGATTTCAGAAAACAAGAAATGCTTCCACATTAGGGAAGTTCGGTTTTGGAACCGGGATGTTTCGCTCAATTTGAAAGTTGGGGTTTGACATGAAAATAATGATACATAATATTTTTTTCAAATCGTTACCGTTTTTTTTTTTGAAATGATTTTAAAGATTAATTTAAAGTTCAATATTGGAGCGTTGGAATTTCATTCTGGTGATCAGTGAAAGCCTTACAGCACAATATTATAAAGTTCATAAATAACTGAAGCTTACTAAATTGCATATGGACAAGATGCAAGGAACAAGCACATTTTTACTAAATCATTGTCTCATTAAATAAGACCTTCATTTACTTCAAAACGAAATTATACTGAACAAGTTAATTATATAATGATGTAATATATAGTGAATATTTTTAGTGTGATTTACAAGAAACAATGTAAATTTAAAACATTCGGTCTTATAATTTGTCCCCAGCAGTATTATGATGTTATATACATATTTATGTATTAGTTAGTTTTCATTAATTAAGATCTGGCGAATTATCCAACAAATCTTATTCAGTGAGTAGCCTTTTTGTAAACTTTTATAATTATTTACATAGTTTTAACTCATCGAATAAAGTAAAAAAAAAAAAAATGGATATTTTGTGTGTGGTGATTTATAATTAGATTTCATGTTATCTAATGCAAAAGATATCAACTTTAATTTATTAAAAAAAAATTGTACGCAAAGACCAGCGGAAATTAGATATTAATGTATATATTTTTATACGATTTTTAAAACTAAATGCTCAAACATTGGCCAAAACAATGATTCTGATCCCAGCTTTTACACTGAATGTTATGATAATTTTCTTAAAAAAAGTGGAAAATCAATCTGCTTTATTTCACATGTTTAAGATGATTTTTCATGTATTTCTTCCATCGATTCAGAATAGTACATAGATTTTGCTGATGGCTTACCCATCGTTTCATCTGTCTTTGATTTTGGGAGTGATACTGGCTATTCGTTTGTATGAGTGATTTATGGTCCACAAAAATCTATATTTTTTATTTGTTAATGAAAATTATACCTTCTCATTTCATTTTTGCTTTCTTCAATTTTTGATTTCAATATGAGTTGAGAAAAAAAACAAAGCTTGTGCTAAATTACTTTGCAATATCAATCATCTTATATGGGTAGTAAATCTATATATATAAAAGGCAGGATGTGTGTGTGTGCTTCTACGGCCGTTTTCATGTAGTTTGCGGCCATTTTCTACTGGCTAGAGTGAGAGCCTATAGCTGGCTGCCACGAATAGGCTGGAAGATTCTATTAGCAAGCGTAAGAGCCAACAGCTGACTGACACGAGTGTTAACTACCATGCCAGCATGCAAAAAAAAATCGATAGCTGCATTCGTCACAAGTGGGACAAATTTAAATCTGCATGGCACTTTACTCCAATTGGCTCACTCGCTTGCTTAAACTCAACGTTGATACTGATTCCGCAGAACTGGGTTGGGTGTGAAAAACTATTTGTTGTTAACATTCTTTTTTCATTCGGTTTTTCCAGTTACGAGTCCTTTTTTTTAAAGCTGATCGTTTTGTGTTTATTTTGTTTAGTTCTTTTTTCGTAACAGATTTAATGTTTAGTATAGAACTTAGAAAAAAATCGCAGCGTGAGATAGGCAAGAAGTAAGGCATGTAGCAACATCAGCACGCCAAAGGGCACTCCTTTAAAGGCAAGGAATGGGAAAAAATATTGTAAGTCAAGTGATAGCCATTGCTGTATGTGTCGTACGATTTTTGACTCAAGCACGGGCAACGCCGGGCCATGCTTCTAATGTCTGATAATTACACTGATAGAGAGTTGACTTGAATCAAAAGATTTTGTTCTAATGGATTCTGCTGATAAAACCTTCGTCATAGCATGTGACTAAAGAGAAACTTGTAAAGAAACCGAAATTATACTTAGAATAAGAAACAGACAGTTGTAATTTTTGGGATACTAAATGAAGAAAGAGAGCTTGGGGAATTTGACACTCATAGGGCATATTGAAGATAAGAGGGACTAAGGGAAACAGCAAGCAATGTATCTAAATTTTGCACGGATAGTAAAAGGACAAAAGAAAAAAAATTGCTTAAATGTGCAAAAGATTGGAAGTTGTGGAGTGCCATGCATGCTCATCTCATGAAGGGACACGTCATATAGAAAGGTCATTTAAACGTTGGGTAATTATCGTCTTACTATTTCAAAATTGCTGGGTAATCCACATCAAGATTTATGATGAAGTTTATAAATTTTTGCTGCTTCTCCCTAGCGTTTTTGTACGCAACATAGCGGCTCTTTGGTGTAAATATCTGAACTAGGTCTGGAACTAAATAATGTAGCCTGTCTGAGTACTAGCCATGGAAATAGCGATGTTTCTTCTCCGAGAAAAGGGTAGCACTGTTGAAAATAATTAATCACTCACAAGGTCGGATAAATGATTTTGAAGTCGTTCAAGGATGCAAGCTGGGGCAGCTCCAGCACAGATATGAATGTCATACTCTATTTCTTGTAGTGGGAGACCTCGGCGTGATGTAAATGCATAGCAAGCTTGTCTCGCTAGAACAATTACGACTGGGTAGTGAGTAAGATGCACGCTGAGTACGCCACACTTTCAGCCTTGCGTCACATCTAAGCTACGTTTAGAAAACAATTGGGCGCTTCGCCGTGGTATAATGGTTAGCACTCTTGTCTTGCTAGATCTATTACAACTTAATAGTGAGTGTGATCCTCAGTCGTTTCCCCATACGTTCGGGCTTGTGTCTCATCTAAGATACACTTAGAAAGTCACAATACTATATTTGTGGTCATATCTGACTTTTGCAATGTTAATGCAGGAAGTACACATGTTCTTTCCGAAGCTCTACAAGAAACCAACAATTTTCCAGGCATCTTTATCAGTGGATAGCTTATGCAATCTAGAGTGTAACGGGATAGACTTAGCAGACAGATGTGATTATTCTTTTTTAATAGGCCACACTAGTGATATGTAAGGTTTTTATATATGTAACCGTAGGACACTGACAAGCGAGAAAGAAATTCATACATATTCGGACGGCCTTAGAATTACATAAGCATACATCTAATCCGGTATCTGAAATCGTAATGTCAGCATATGAAATATACAGATATATAATTAATTTAGAGATCAAAGACCAGTTTCATTGTTCAGTAATTTTCAGCACATCGGAAATTGTTGTCACTTGCAATGCACATGATTCTCCTTCAAATCCAATATTTTTGTCATGGTATTTTTTTTTCTATTAGCTTTTTGCGCATTAGAGTACATCCATACTGTGTGGAATACGAACGTTGTGTTTTCGTATAAATGTAATTCCAGTTCTAGCTTTCCCGCCGTTCTTGCTTATTAATCAAGTAGTCCCTTCCAATTATCGTTAACATTATTCGGCTCTTATTGATTCGATAAAAAAAGAAAAAATGAAAGCTGGGGGAGCGCGTTTAATTTATAATAGAATTTCTTCACGTGAAACTACATTTCTGTATATGTCACTAAACTCGGTTGAGTGCCAACGGAAGGAGACAAGACGGAGTCAATTTCCGATCCTGATGCTGAGTTTCGCGTCTCACTAATTTTGTAGCTTTGATGTTATAAGGAACTAAGTAATCATAAAATGATGCATCCCATTGAAGCAACCAAACAGTGGATGACCAACGTTGAAAGACACATAATAATTCACGTTACAAACACATACACGCGGGCGTATGTGTGTAAGTGTGTGTTTGTATGTCTCTGTGTTTGTGTGTGTGTGTTTATATGTGTGTGTTTTAATGTTATCAGCGAAACAAGAAAGTACTCAACTAAAACATCTGTTTGATATTTGTTCATGTTTTGAAAGTGACCCACGTATGTTACATATATATATATATATATATATATATATATATATATATATATATATATATATATATATATATATATATATATATATATATATATAATTTAAAAAAAAACAGACCACTTTAAGGTTCCATGTAATAAATTATTTAACCACAGCCCTTTTAAAGGACTGAGGATCATCAGACTTTACTGCCGAAGGTTGAAACGAAAAATGAAAAGGAATTTACACATTTTTGACAGGCAAGCATATGTAAATTAACGAAGTGAGGAAGTGAGGGGGAAGAGAGAAGACATGAGTGAGTTAGATGTAATTTAGTGTTTCTATTCTTTCATACTTAAAATTACCTGAGGAGGTCCAGACATTGACACATTTAAACGGTTAACTTAACGGAAGTTATATATTGATATAGAAGAGGTAGAGGGGAAAAAGACATAAAAAGAAAAAGAGAGAAAGAAGTCATGAGAGAAGGTGTCACTAATTTTCTTTGGAAAGAACAGGCACGAAAAGATGATTAATACGGCCCGTCAAAAATGTATAAATTTCTTTTCATTTTTCGTTTCAACCTTTGGAAGTAAAGTCTGATGATCCGCAGTTCTTTAAAAGGGCTGTGGTGTAATAATTTATTACATGGAACCTTAAAGTGGTCTGATTTTATTGAAAATTATTTGCTCTGGATTTATATTGAGCTCTCTGGATATTATCCTCCTTGAGTCTACCCATACGGATTACCTAGTTTACCTAAATTTATATATATATATATATATATATATATATATATATATATATATATATATATATACAAATAGGTTTGGTATGATGTCGATTTATTTTGGGTGTGATCATTTCAAGTTCACGGATTAGTTTCTTGGTAAGTATAGAAAACTAAATTTTCTTTCAAATAGTTTTTATTTTACCAAGTACTTTCAATCTCAGAGTATTTCAGGGAGTAAAATTGTCTGTGAATGAATATATGTATCTGTATTTAACATTGGAAAATAAGAAATATTTGATAGAAAATTTTCTTATTTTTCTAAATCAATAAAAAAAAATTAATTCTTGAAATTGAAAGGAACAGAAACAAATTTAATCGACATGATATATATATATATATATATATATATATATATATATATATATATATATATATATATATAGACTGTTTGAGACCTGACGATTGCGTCTCGCATAAAACAGACTGTCGCCTCTGAGTGCTAACTTCAATGTTCTTTTTCCTATATACTTACGCTCTATCTCTGATATTGTGCACTATATCCCATAAATATAGCATACCTTAAAACTATATTTCTTCATATATATATATATATATATATATATATATATATATATATATATATATATATGTATGTATATATATATATATATATATATATATATATATATATATATATATATATATATATATATTTACGTATATATATACGTATATACGTATATATATATTTGTATATATATACATATATAGGTATATATACAGATATATATATATATATATATATCTACACATATATGTGTGTATATATATACATATATTTATATGTATGTATATATGCATATATATATATATATATATATATATATATATATATATATATACATACATACATACATATACATACAAGTATATATGTAAGTATATGTAAATACATATATTTAATACTTATGCAGTCATGATTCAAAATTTAATTTTTAATTCTACAATGACATGCATCTCTGGTCACGTGATTTAATTTTTTATGATTATTTTTCCTTTTTAATAAATTGATCGATTGATTGATTTGTTTCTTACGGCTTTTCTAGGCTTTTCTGGTTATCTAAGGCCAGAAAATATTTTTTAGATTGTAAGAAATATTTGAAGATAATAATAATAATTTATTGATAGAAGTCTTACCAAACCATAACTCAGAGGCGTATTAATACCTGTCCTAATGGTGTTTGCACGTACGTCAATATAACGAACTCAGCTGGAATGGCAACACGGCTCTCCGACCGATTATGCATCACCTCACATCCTAGCTTACAGTACCTGGTTTTTCTAAGTGGACACTCATCTAAGTACTGTCGAGTCTCTACATTGCTTAACTTTGGCGATCATACGGGAACCTGTGTTTCAACTTTAAGTATTTTTTTTTTAAATAGATTCTTTTTTACCTCCGGACAAACATATAGATAATGTATCTGACGTTCATGTCTTCTCTTTTTTGTCCGAGTTTTTCTGACCAGCTTGATTATTAACAGGATCTAAATGCTATCAGGCAGATGAATTTGACTCCATTAAAGCAACAGTTTTGAAAGGTTCTGTTTTTACTTAAAAATTTATTTCGAAATTACATCGTATTTAGTGCGGTTTCACTTAATCCGCTAACGTGTATTTCATATTTTTAAAAATATTTTATTTATTAACACATAAATATGTTCCGTTTTTCTTTATCAATTTTGTCTTAGAAAAATAAAGTATGAGTAAATTTTATTAAGTTATATATTCGTTATTATTTGCAATTACATGCTGCCATTTGCTAGACAGATCTTCGAGACCATTTTAGTAGAATTCCGTAGGTTTTGACACGAAAATATTTTCCTCAAGCTCTTGAATCTGGTTTTCATTAGAGAAGGTTTTTTTCCCCATTAAAATCTTTAAGCGATTGAAATTATCAGTTGGAGTAATATCAAAAGATTGTGGCTGGTAAATATGGCAGGTCGGACAGAACTGACTAACCGAATTCCAATATCTTTATCGAGGTTATTCTTGATGTACTCGGCTTTTTTAGTTTTACGGAGAACAGCATTTTAAGTTTACACTAATAGGCAAAAACTAAGTTATATTAGTGTACTCCAAATTTATTGTGAATTGCCATGTTTAATTAGTAATTAAGTTGATACATTTATCATTAAAATTAATTCCCCAAAAAGGAAGTTATTAATAACTATTTTCTATTCATATGAAATGTTTATATGCATTTTACAATTGTGTCTCTCGTTGAGAAGGATTTTTTTTTTTCAATGCGTGTTGGTAAGAAGCAATAAAATACAGGATGCGAGGGATGGGTTATCTAAATTACGGGAAAATTAAACTAAACATCTGATTTTAACAGAAAAATGTTTTCAAAATTTGCACAAAAATATCTTGACATACTAAAGAGTAAATTCATTCAATAAAATCGCCATTGCCTTCAAACATAGCCTCCAGACGATTTCGTAAAATCCGACATCTCTTCTAGACGGTGCCTTCGTTAAGTTGATAGATGGTGGTGAAATTCTTGCCCTCAGGTCATCTTTGGTGTTACAAAAAGTTTTGTTGGTCTTTCACACAACTGGGCCCCACACATAATAATCAAGGGGGTTGCAGATTGCGTAGTTAGGTAGCCAGATGTAAGGGAGTGATGTGGCCGCAAAAATTATCTGATAGCCATGACTTGGTTCTCTTGTTTGTGTTGCTTATTTCAGTGTTCTGTTGGCAGATATAGGATCTTCAAGTAGCTACCTTCTTGACCCAAGGCACTTGATGTAGGGCTCCGTGTTGAGTCTGAAATGTTGCTATTGGAGCTTTCCAGTGCGAATGCTAAGCAATACAACATGCTGTTTCCAAAATTCTGGTGGAGTGAATTACGTCATTGTGCACTTTTTCACTCAAACGGTGCCCAACTGACCCTGCTATACTGTGCAGTAGACAAATAAAAAACAAACAATGCGTACTCGCGAAAATCAAAATATAAATTGTTGATAATTTACACATCACACGCTGTAGAAGAGGTAGATAGTTACTTGCATATCAGACAAAAAGTGAATAAATGGTGTTTGATATCGCACAGGATAAGAGCAGAATGGAATGTATTAGTCTAGGTGAAGTATGTGTTGTAACCAAACCTAGATAGGATCAATGAAACAGCCTTCTTCAAGAGTGTTTACCTGTACGGCTGTACGCAAACGAGGCATGGGCCACAACGAAAAAGGGAAACCCTGTATAATGGAGGTCATTGAACAGCCAATGCTGAGAATCTCATTGTGAGAAAACACCTAGAATAAGTATATTAAGCAAAGAGCTACGATGAGGAACATCATTGAGGATAAGCCACGAAGTAGTTTCAGATGAACTGGATAAATCACAAATTTCGCCAATAATCAGCGGATTCTTGTAGTTGCCGAATGTATAATGTTTCATGGTCGGTCAAGGCTAGTACAAGATCGTCCATTAAGATGGAAAGACGTGATCAGAAAACAAATGTGAACCACATGGAAAGAATGCCAACAATGCGAAGTAAATATGGTCAATGCTCTCACAATATGTTCGATCAAGGAGAACGCATATATATATATATATATATATATATATATATATATATATATATATATATATTGTGTGTGGTTATGTGTGTGCTTGTTTATATGTATATCATTGAATATGAGGAAAAAAGAATATCAAGTCGAAGACTGACTTTTGTAGTAATTCGAGTATCTAGATAGGCATTACGTTGGTTACATCAAGTCGAAGATTCACCACTCAAAGCAATATAGAATCAATTAAAACCCAAAACACAACGACTTGCCACACTCTAAAAAAATGCATAACACCGTCATTTAAAGAACATCTGATTATAAAAGACATCTTAATACAATTCATGCACTTAACTTAAAACGGTTTAGAGCAAACCTGAACGTTAACATCTTTGACAACTGGAAGAACATGTCAGCGCTCTTTCAAAGATTGAAATGTCTACTATCTCCGAAGTAGCACAGATTAGAATTACAAAACTTACAACGATGTTGCAATGACGTTTACCCCATTCAAAACTGAAGTGCTACGTCCCCACGCATGGTGAAAATGCCAGCAACACGCAATGAACCACCAGAGAACGAAAATACATTTGAAGGAACTGGAAACCCAATAATAATTGAGAAACAAGTAATAAACAGCTACTTCTCTTCAAAAGAACCAAAGGGCATTCGAAAATGTCTAATCCTATTGAAATAAAACAATAAATAAATCGTCAATAAAAGTTTCGTGTTTTAGGCAGGGACTTTCTTTTAACCGAAAACAACAGACTGAAAATTAACATCTTGAAAATGTCCAAAGAATCAATCCAAAGCACTTGGGACAATAATTTCTGCAGAAAGTTTCTTCATTCACCTAAGAGAAATCTGTAAGTACAAGAGAAAAATTTAATACAAATTTTTCATTGTTTGTCACATTCAATGAAATATGCATCAAAGAAATTTTGATGACCAAGTTTACCATATGTATATATTTATGTATCTATATATATATATATATATATATATATATATATATATATATATATATATATATATATATGTGTGTGTGTATATATATATATATCGAGTGTAACAGCAAAATTGTCAAAATCGTGTAACAGCATAATTGCTAATGTCATTTTTAATTTTAATACATAACAAAATACAAATTGATTCTCTTGAGTTATTTAGCAAGAAAGAGAACAGATTAATTTTTTTGTGCCAGCCACACTGTCTTCTCATCTAATTAATTTAATTAAGTACCTGAAGATGAAGTCCTGTTCATCGGCAGGTTTATTAAATACCAAAAAGTGTAAAACTAGAAAAAGAAATGACTACATATAAAGGCTAGTTAATCCAAACATGCACAAAACAATCGGTGGCTTGAACATAGAATTAACACTATTTGTCTGAATGGAGAAAGAAATAAAGCTAATGCTTTGTTTACATTTTTTATTCTTTTCCTGTCAAGCAAGGCGTGAGTGCCACTAAGACGCAAGGGGTTACATAGAGTGGGAGCAAGAGTAAAGATGCGAGATAGACGAAAGGATGAATAGAAGGACGGGGAATAGATCAATGCATCTGGAGATGTCGATTGACATTGCATTTGAATATTTGGAGATTATAGCTATCAGGTAAGCAAGTAAGAGAAAGGGAGTTCCACAGCCTGGAAGAGCGAGACATGAAGCTATTGTAGTAGAAGAGACGGCTATATTAAACCGTTCCGACAGTAAAAGGGTGGGACTGAGATGCCGACATATTGGCAAGGTTGAATTCATGCAGTTTTGGAACTAGCGAAAGTAGTTCGTCGGAGCAGTTCCCGTGAAAGTATTTGTAGAAAAGACAGAATGAAGCAACGGCACGTCTATGAGAGAGCAACCGTAAACGAGATTCCAAGGCCAATCACATTGCATATACGTTTCTGGATTTTGTCGAGGACTTAAGACGAACAGCGAGGGTCCCAGACCATATATGACAGCAGTATTTTATTCAAGGGCGAATGGTTGATTTATAGATGTGAATGATGGACTCAGGCGCAGAAAAAAAATTCTATATAAAGTTTGTTACGAAAAGTTAGTTTCAAGATGGTTACATTTTGCAACAAGGTGTGTGGACAGCGGACAAATGTTGAAATTATTCTACACAATGATATAGACATATAAAATGTGGCCACATAAAACAAACGTGCAAGGAACATGATAAGAAAATAGAAAATGATAGAGAGAAAAGGAACTAAAAGTTACAAATCGGTGATGATAATTTGTAGGATGATAAAACAACGAAACTTGTTTGGTGTCATACCTTTATTGAGAGAGTTCCGGTTATAAGTAAGTGCTAACCGGAAGTATTAAAAAAGGTGATCAACCTAAAAGGGACAAACAAAAGGATGTAAAACAATACAGTTTCCGTGCTATTGTGGAGGGAAATTTGGATCTCATAAAAAAAAAGAAACTCATGGACAAATAAATAAATCCTTGGTGAATAATCTCTGTAGGAAATTAAAAAAAAAAACTTCTAAAAAGCGCTCCCTTATCCTTCTAAGAGCTTTGTTTAATTATTTTTTTTATTTACAGCAGTCTTTTGTTTTATTCAGTGGAAACAAAAAATGTGAATCCTTCATTTGCCTTAGGTCATTGGTTATGACTAGGCACGTGAATATAAACATATACAGGTTTAAAATAATATTCTTAATTATAATAATACCAATAATGATAATTATAATGATAATATGATGTAGCCCCAGATTCGTAAAACACAACTTTGAAAGTGTTTAAGAGACTAAATCATTAGAAGGATCTCGAGATAGAAATCAGTAGAATGTTGTATCACAAAACAACAACATTAATTCTTGTCGTCCTGGAGT